ACACAAATTTTTGTATTAAGCGATATGAAAAGTATGATGTTATATTAACTAAAAAAAAAATTTATCTAATTTATGTCCATGCTTATCTTTATAAGGATCAATCTAATGACAAAAAACATCTTTCAAAAAACTAAAATATCACTCCATTAAAAATACGGCATTTACTATCTATAAAGCTAATAATAGCTAAATAGCCTCAATTCAATAGAATTCAAAGAAAATTGTATGAGCAAGCATACTGTTACAAATTGGTTAAAGATGTTCTGACATTTCCTTGACTAATGGTAAATTCATAGCTGAATCATCATCAAACTAAATAAGAATTCTATTCAATGTTTTCAATACATGATATCACTGTATTGACATAATTTAATAAAGATAGCATTATGGAATAATATGACTCATCCTTGGCCTGGAGTGATTCCTACTTATTATTAATTCAAAATTGTTTACATATAAACATGAATATGTATAAAATTACAGAAAAAACAATAATGAAAAAAAATGTATGTATTTTCTACATAATAGTAGATAAAAATCAATTCAATAAGCCTTTAAAACACCTAAATTTCCATATTTTTTGGGGGCTTCGCCCCTATGGATTACTTATAAGAGATTCTGACTGATGCCCAACCACGCACACATTTTTCATCAGGGAATTCGGACCCTGGGCACTGCCTAGCCTAGTTAAAAAATCCCATATAATGTATGTATAATTTTTACTGTACTACAATTTTACGGACGTCTGTCCCAAAGGGTTCTAACTTTATGTTAAGCTATGTCCAGATTATGAAATTTTCTTTGACAAAAAACCATCATAAGACTATATATAGTCATAATGTGCCTATATATGGTCATGATATGATGTCATTATGACCATATTTAGACATGTCACATGTTTTTGTCAAATAAAATTTGATAGTCTGGACAGGGCTTTATACCGTACGTATAAAAAACACTTACAAGGATCGAATACTGGGTTTTCTTTTCTTTCTTTTCTTTGCATCTCGGACAACAGGGGTTCCAAAATTCTCTGGGTCTGTCAAGGGTAGATGATCAAGAGTCTGAAAAAAAAACAAATGAAGATCACTGGTTTTCAATTCAATTAAACACATTTTTTACTACAGTGAACTACAGACCAGTAGACTATTGTTTGTATCACTATCATGCCTAGTGGCTGTGTTAATGCAACGATGCTATGCTCAAATAAAGTTTGAGAGTTTTAAAAACAGTTTAAAATTTTTATGAACAGGGCTTATTGTGTTTTGTGTACCTACCAGTTTGATTAAACCAAATGGCCTATTTTTAAATTTATATGATGATGGAAAAGAAATGTATTCGAACAATAAAAGACACATTATTGGTGTGCCGATGGTAGCAACAGCTGATGTTTGCTATTGAATTCTCCAAGGTCACCATTGACAGGGAGGTCACAAATAAAGCAATCTGGCATCACAATTTAATCTTGGGAGTGTATCTCTAAAGAAACAATTGTTCAAAATAGAAAAAAACAAAAACACCAATGGACACCATGAAAGGAAAGATAGTTCAATTTAGCAACAGTCTTCTTCAAACATTTTAGAGAGCAAATAATACAGCCAGAGGGTTTTACTTGAGGACAGGAAACTATAGAATTTACACCGGGAATGAGTAATACAAAGCTGTTAAGGAAGTGATCATAACATCCATACTGTCTACAGGACAAACATCTTCACATGCAATAATACACTTTTCCCAATATTTGCTCTTGTTCAAGTATCCTTGAAAGCCCAAAATAACCACATCAGACTGACACAAATCCTATAATCTTGAATAAGGCAATGTGCACTAGATTTTCCATCATCATTAGGATAATGATTGTTTAGTACTATCCAAAACATTTAGACAAACAAACAAAACAAAAACAAAACAAATTGTTATGGTATGCATTCACTGAAATGACTAATAATTTGAAATAAAATAATGTGCATCTAAGGTAAACATTAATGAATACTGTAGTTGAATCTCCTTTGTTACAATAACATCTTTCAATATATTTCATATGTAAACAATTTTTTTTATTAGTAGTTTAAACAAAAAGATATGCTTTTTAATTATTCAAATTCTTATTCCTAGATGGTTTATGTATCAATTCGAGTTGATTGAGGCATACATTTTGGTATGGTAATAAGTTTGATTGTAAACCAATTCTGTATCTTACCTCACTTTCATTAAAGTGTCTTTCCCCTTGAAGGCAAAGTGATGATCTTCGTAGCGTCTTCTCATCTCCATCATCAAAAACTGTAGATTAAATAAAACATAAAATAATCATATAATTTATTACTCTGAAATTCTGAAAAAAAAAAATAATAAAGTATAAGCTAATTACCAACAGAAAAGATAGTTGGGGATTAACATTTAAATTTTATCACTTTAAACTTACTACTTAGAGAACAGGTAGTTTGGAAAGACTACCCATACTTTTGAGAGCACCTTAGCTCAGTCGGCTAGACTGGTGGTAGCCACTGTGTGTGCGCTGAACCATGAAGAACTTGTGGTCCCTGGTTCAATCCCCATCGCTGCTCTCCATGTATTTCAGCTGGAGGGCCGAACTGCAAGTTACAATAGCGCACCGTCTTTCGGATGAGACGTTTAAGCCGTTGTTCCTGTGTGCATTATGGCCCATGTGCACGTTAAAGAATGCAGTAGACTCTTTGGAAAATAGTAGGGGATTGTCTCCCAATGTACTGTCCAATCACCATCAGAAGACCCCACTGAAAGTGAGTCTTCTTCTATTTTGGAAAGTAAGCTTAGTTGATAGGAAGCTAAGACTTTTTTTACTATAAGTAACTAACTTACCAACTGTGTAAGTGCTTGCATCTGTAAGCTTTAAGATGACACCTTCTTGGTACGTACCCTGTTCTGGGTGCTTTGCATGTACTGCTGCACCAATCTACAAAAACCAGAAAAAATCAACGAAAATAGAAATCTGCCAATATTCAATACCCGGACACATTATTCATTGTATTTAAGAAAATTTGTGTTCAACAAAATAATGCTTGCATAAAGCCTTGAAATTTGAATTTTAGTACTTTTTAATTTGCATTAGATGCAGATAGGAAATGTTTAATTTCAATTTAGTTTCATTTTTTAAGAAAAATCGTCAGCATAGTTTTGCAGCTAAATCGAAAATATACAGTAGTACCTTCTTATATTGGTTAGATTAAAATAAGTTGGTTTATATATTTGGTAATTTACAAACATTTTTGTGGTGTTTAAATTTTTGTTAAACAATTTTTATTGTAACTTCTATTCAGAAGGAATGTCCTCCCACCAGGACCACCACCAATTATAGATTTATTCAAGATCTGTTGTAACTTGTATTTCAATTTGTTACTGCTGGATAGTTAAAGATGCGTATTGTCCTCTGAAGAGAATGACTAAAAATGATAAAAATAATTTTGAAATTATCTTGCTCAATTTTCAGTAACAAATTATTAACTTGAGCATAAAAAATATAGGGTAAACATTTTTTGAACACTGACATCTATGTTCAAGTTGATAATTTTTCTGTTACTTCAAAATGAGCAGGTAAATTTTAAAAATTAAGGCAGGGGTGTTACAACGTACAGCCATAATATCGGTACTGGTTTGAACGGCATGCTTGCCTATGGTTCTAGTGGTGGAACAAGTCTTCTTGAATAAGGACAACAAACTGTGGGCCAGCGTACACAATTGCTCACACGCACTTTAAAGAACCTAGTACATCTGGTCCAATCACCCCTGTTGTGGACGGGCGAGAGTAGCTGGTACTGGTTTACATGTAGAGACACTTATGGGCGAAGCAAGTTACAACTAATAGCTAGTTCCCATTTCGGTGTAAAGCATTATATAAATCTAATTACATTACATCAGAAACAATAATTCAACAAAAGAAAAAATAAAACATGAATCATAACATATTGCTTTTAATTAAAATGTGCTAGCAAAATTTAATTATTTGGAATAAAAAATGTAATAAAATTTTTTTCTTTTATTTTGGTTTCATCAATAATTCAAAGTGAAACCAAACAAAAAAACTGAATGATAGAAATTGAAAGCAGCCTTACCTTCAATTGACCATTCACAAACTCATCACTGACAATGGCTGAAGAGAAGCCCTTGAAACTGATCTATAGAAAACATTCATCAAAATTAATAAGTACTACATAACAGCTTTTAGTGAAGTTATGTCCAATAAAAAAAAAATTCTCAAAATTGAGTATTGGTGAAGAATGTCATAATTTCTTTCAAATAAGAGAAAAACAAAGCAATGACTTTTTAAATACAAAGGACTATTTAATTTATAGATTATAAATAATTGTAAACTGTCCAATACGGGCATGAACTCAGGGGCATATCAAACATTTTTAATTTCAATATACAACTTCAGTGATTTTGAACATCCTCACACTGACAATGATGCCAGCAGCAACAATAATAATAATCACAATATTAATTATAATAATATGTACTCACTTTACACTTTACATGCTTTGAAGCAGTTTTAACTTTGGCTTCGCAAAATGCACCTCTGTACTTGGCACTGACATCAGTACCAACAGTCAAATATGCTGGACAATCTCGATCCTAAAAAGATATTACAAAGGAAAAATTAACTGACATCCTTGTAATTTAAACACTTGTAATGCAACTTTCAAAATAACATACTGTTAATAAATAATACTTCAAACTAATATATGAACTTTGGTATAGGCCAAAAATTAAGAATATCCGTATGTTTTATATTTATTGTTTGAAATTACTTTCCCTCAAATATACCCAGTGTACTTAAGATATAAACATGTTAATGTGTTTCATAGAATATTAAATTCTCTAGAGCAAGATCAATTCCAACCTTTATTTTACGTCAGCATTAATATTACCAATTAAAAATCTAAGGTGAATCTGCAAGTTATTCCTGGAGCAAGCAATGATGTGTCTACATGTAGGATATGTGTGCATTAATAGGAAGCTATGTTTACTTATGCAGTCCCTGATTGTATTGACCTTCACAGATCAGTGATCATGAATGCTATTGGTTGTTCGCAATACAATTCCTGTAAAAGGCAGCGTACAGTTTCTCCATAAGAAGCATTGTATTGGCAGCCTGCCAGAATCTCATTGCCTGTGTACTTTGCTACAAATTGCTATCAAAAAGATAATTCTACATGATGGTAACACAAATACATTTGTGTTAAGTATGTGTGTATTACTGCTACATATTAATTGGTTATTTGTACTCAATAAAATAATGTCAGTAAATACGCTCTGTTCCCAAACATTTGAAGTTTGATTACTTAGAATAAAATGTTTACAAAGAAAATAAATATATTTTTACACTTACTGTAAATACATAATTATAGAGATAAAAATATAATCGATTGACATGCGACAGATGAAATATGTGATTTAACTATTAATCATAAGAAAAATACATTTTCTTGTAGACTTTCAACAAGATAAAACTCAACAATCACATAGTCAACTGAAGGAACCCAGATCATTAAGCCAAATTCGGGTGTTTCACAATTTATTTGTGAATGCTACTGTAAATAATAGCTTTCAATTGAAAACTAAAACATTTTCCTTGCCACTTAACAGATGGACATATGCAACGGTTCCTAAATTCCTTTGCACAGACTTTTTAAATACCTGGTAGAGGTAATCAATTACTTATCTTTTTTGTAGTGAAGGTTCTGTAAATTAGTGAACATTCTTTTTTTATCTGTAGAGCTTGAATTGAATTTGAAGAGTGAGTTGTATTCAATGTTTTTGAATTTTTTTTAGATTCTTTGAATTTTACAGATGGTTTACATCTTTAAATATTTCTTATTTAGTTGAAACTTAGCCTGACAAGATTAGCCAAAGAAAAATAATTAATTTTTTAACTGAAATATTAATAATAATAATTATTACAGTACTTTCTATATATTACTTTCATACATAAAAAAAAAATAAGTCTAAATAAAAATATTCAATTTAAAAAAAGCAATATTCAAATAAATTTGGTTTAAATATCTCACCACTCAAGACTTTGTCGTAAAAGTAAAGTTGACATTTCCCATACAAAAGATAAATAAAAAATTTTTAAACTCAACAAATAAGGTTGTTCACTACAATTCCAATTTTTAACAGTCAAAACAAATTCTACTTTGATTCATCTAAAATATTTTATCAATGCGACTTATCATACAGCAATAGGTCTGTTATTAAAATATTAAACTGGTTTGTGCAACATACATTTTTTACCAGACTTCTAAGCCTAAAAAGATCTTGTTCCTGCCTTTTCAAAATATAGTCTGATTTACATGCAAATTTGTGCATAATTGTACCTTAATAATAATTAATATACCACCAATTTAGAGATCCTAGACTTATACAAGCAATTAATCTGGAAACACGAATCCTGGTCAAAAACAAACTACAAGTCAGCAACCTAGCTAGGCCTAGGCCACTCCTTGCTGAGCAGGGAGGTCTCTGTAACAAAATGAAAAAGAGGGGGTTTTCCCCAATGAAAATCTTTCTGTTATACATCCAACGCGACCATCAATTAAAAAAAAATACAATACCTTACTGTCTGATACTACGTTTAATATTTATAGTAATATTTAACGTCAGAAATTAAAACCGTCTACGACAAGCCAGCTGATGCTCAACACGAAATGTTCAATACAATACAGGCGTAGGCCTACACACGTTCACAATCTTCTTGCCTGTGAATGTGTTGTGTGTAGGGAACCTGGAGTAAGACAAAACCAAAAGTCATATAATTCCTACTTACCATAATGAAATCCAAAAAATATACGCCCAAATGATCACTGGACTATACTTGATGCAGGATGAACAATTTGTTCCAAAAACCCTGAAAAAATCACTCTGAATTCAACGACATTTCAAGCATTAACTTCGGAACATTCATACGGTAAGCACAAAACGGAATCGGTAGAAAGACAACAACTTGTCATGGGGGGTCGCAAGCTCTGATTGGCTTAAGGTCACGTGGACATGTCACGGTACCATTAAAGAAGAGATGTTTAGTACCTATAATTATAAATTTAACCATCATTCTAAATTTATTAAAGAAAAAATATTGATTGATTATTGATTATTGATATATTGAAGAATAAATATTATATAATGCTATCAAAATTATGATGTTACTAAATTTGTCAAAATTAATCAGTACTTACAAAACTACCCATTTACAAGTCCTGATTCCCAATGAGGTTATTTGTTGACCTCAGGTTCAAAAGATATTTGGTGTCAGTGTGCAAAATATGGCGAACAAAGCCAGAAAATCAGGAGGTGACTGTCAGCTAAATCGTGAATTTACCTCAAGAAGAGTCGAAATAGTTTCTGATTGTACGGTATTCATATATCTTAGCTACTTTAGATATATATAGACGTTATACTATTCAATTATAAGCTAAGAAACTTTGGATTTATGGGCTTCTTTACAAGAGAAAACCTTCTTTCCGGAAACTTGCATGAGTAATGAGGTCCCTGGAATATGTATTTTATTCTTATTGTCCAGGTCATTGTGAACCTTGTACTCTGTATCATGTTTTTAATCGAAATCTGTCACCACAACATGCATGCGATTCAAACTGCAGGATGGATTAGGGTCCTTTCTTATTTTTTGTTTATTATAATAATTCTATGCCTGATTTTAGTGTTTTTAAATGCACTTTGACTTAATATTGTATTTATATATAACAATTATTCGATACTTCTTGTTACTTTGGTTTGTGTGAGCCAACCCATATACAACAATCAACTGATTAAAAAAGTCATCATTCACCAGGCTTTTCTCTTTTAAAATTATTTTATTGTGAAAAGGATTCTTTTCCCACCTTAAGGACACTTGAAGTCCACAGTAATGCATGGACAGAAGTGAGGAACAGCCACACAGTTTATCGAGAGCTGGTGAGATGATGGCATCGGGACCATACTGCACCATAGATTTTGAAATGCTATGCCAATAATAGACTGAATCGGTGACTCCAGCTATTACTGGTCATGTGACATATAGTGAGTACTAAATGTAAACATCAACACCGTAAACCACAGTGCACTCATATACAGAACACAGTATATTGAGAGAGTTACGATGTTTTTTAGACAGCGACCCAAAGTAAGGCAGTAGGCCTATGTTTTTTTTGTAGATAGTGATTTATAATTAATTTCGCAATCTCTGTGCATTTTATTTAGGCTCTGGAATGTTGCTAGTGTATGAGGCTTAACACTCGCAGTGCAGCCCTGTGAGTGTTAAACCTTGACCAGGGGCCCGGAGCAGGGAGGGAGTTGTTATGCCTTGACTATATCTCTGTAGTCGAGTTCTGTAGGTAGTAAATAAAGTAGAAAATAACCCTTAACGGTACTGATTGCTCAACTAAACTTGTGAAACAGGCTGGTGATAATAGGCCTGGTTGGTATGGTACATAATGCCAGTACATTATAATAATATGTTGTGTCATTATCCTCGGCAGTAACTACAAACATAATATGATTTAATTTTGGATTTAAAATAACTGTAAAATAATACTCTTGCAACGATTGAGGAGATTTGTACGTCGTGAAGGTACCGTACCTTGACCAGGGCAGGGAAGGAGTTGTTATGCCTCGACTATATATGTATCTCTGTAGTCGAGTAGGTAATAAAGTAGAAAATAACCCTTAACGGTACTGATTGTTACTGATTGCTCAACCATACTTGGTCTAGGAAACAGGCTGGTGATAATAGGCCTATTTGGTATGGTACATCCTAATGCCAGTACGTAATAATATTTGTTATGTCATTATGATGATCATTATACTCGGCAGTACAGTAAATACAAACATCCTATGATTTAATTTTGGATTTAAAATAATTAAAATAATACTCTTGCAACAAATGGGGAGGTTCGTTTTTGTTTTTTTGTTGTTTTTTTTTTCATGCGATAGCATTTGCCATGAATGATATTCTTGACTTAGGCCTAAAAAGTAACTCGGCTGGCAACGACTCCACTGGAGCAATATACACGTCGTGAAGGTACTGTACCTTTCTTTGAAAAACTTCCAGGCTTTATTCCCACTATCTATTGGAGCCTTACCAAACCAAACTGATAAGTGTTTGAAAATTTAATTTTGGAATACTTCTAAGTGATTTACCAAATTATAACTCGCATTCCAACCAACATTTGCAACATCTATGATGTGACTTGCATCAACAACAAGGCGAAGCCATATTCAATGCAGGCCCCGAATTTGGGGATTTTATGGGCAAGGCCAAATGGCCTCTGGTATGACATGATTTTGAAAGGCACCAAGGCCAAACTTTCAAGTATAAAAGGGCACCCAAGGCAAAATTTGATTTAGCCTCAGTACTAATTTCTTGTGAGTGCCTTGATTCGTCAGTAGCCAGGCTAGGCAAGCTACTGTAGGCCTAGGCCAAGCCAAGCTAGGCCTAGCCAAGCCATAGTTGTCAATGATGACTTTGTTTAGAGTATTCTATTAATTATCGATTCAATGTTGGAATATACTGCGGCAGTCGGCGATCGTACAAAACAGTCAAATTTCAAGAAGTTCGATATCTTTATGCTGTTGCTCAGTCCATCATCATCGGAGAGGAAGCCACAACTCTAAACTGGCCGCGTAAGCTGCGATGACGTAAGATCGCCCAAAGTTTACAACTATACAAAGGCCGTATTCGACTGGTCGTTCTTCATTAAACCACGCCCACCAGCGCGCAGCGGTAACATTCTACTCAACGAAGACGACCAGTCGAATAGAAAACTTTTAATACTCGACAAAACAAAATGGCTGTATAGTTACCGCGATACACGTTGCGTAATCAAGATTGTTCAACTTGTGGTAGTATGGGTTTTTCGTTTAAAAAAATATTTTCATCCAGTTTTTTTTATTCTGTTTGCCTACAATAATTTATTGACTCCATGTGGGTAAATATTATAATGTTTATTTTATTAAATTTAATCTAAGTTATATTAACGCAAATGTTGTTAATAATAAATCACCAATCGGCCATGTCTCTCTTTGGTCACGTGGGTAACTTAACGCTGATTAACACACTCTGGTTTACGTCAATTTTCGTTGTCAACGAAGTCTATTTAACGAACCAGTCGAATGAAAATAATACTCAACGAAAATTCGTTCCAATGAAATGAACCAGTCGAATGAGCCCATGTTAACATTGCAATAACTGCTAGAGTAAGACGCATGTGCACACAACGGTAACCGCAAAAACAGTTCGTATCAACAACACACATGGAAATTCTCTCATGTTCTGTTCTGTCACTGCAACCTGGCTTAGGCGACCTACGTTTTTGGCTTTAGTGTTTTCTTTCAAGATTTAAACGGTCTTACTTAGATTTATTTTACGTGTCAAACGATCTATATTAAGCATCGTGAGGGCACCAAAGCCAAGGCTTCAAAAGGGCAGGCAAGTAGTGGCCGTCATCGTGCTTCATTTTTCAGGGGCACCAAGGCCAACTGGGAGGGCACCGTCGGCAATGGCCGCGGTTAAATTCGAGGCCTGTCAATGCATCGTCGTCTCGCGATCTCGATAGATGTAAACAAACCCTAATACCCACTATAAGTCACATGACCCGAGCTGCCGATTCTGTCTATTCATCCACACATTGCTTTTCTGGTGGAATCCTGCAGCTGAGTTAAACACTAGGAGGTATTTGGGATAGTAAAGGCATTCCTTGATTAGTAGTGGTGGAGGTGTTACTATTACAAAAGTAGGTCCAGAGGATATCTCTAGCACTAACCCAACCGGATTCATGAGGAATCTGAGTTTGTACAGAATTTAGAAACCCAACTAGTGTTTGAGTTTTCTAAAATTGACCAAACTTCAACAAAATTTTTAAATTTTTAATTATTTTAAATTTAATTCACTTAGTTCATACATACTGTACATTAATTAAAATTCTTTTAAAAACACTAATTACTGTAGTTTGCAGGTCAAATAAATTTATAATACAATAGAGTACCTGGTCATCTGTTTTTGTCTTTTTAGTAGCTGCTGGTATTATTGGTTAGGTTGACAATCAGAGGATGTTGGCACAACTACATTCAGTTCATGACTATGAAAATATTCACTTTGATTTGGTAATTGTTTTTTTTATCTGGTCACTGATCATGTACAGTATTATTTGCATGTTTTAACCTTCCATACCGTTAATTCATTTTAGAACATTCTCTGGCTTTTGTGTGAAGCTGTGTGAAAGAAGTTTACTAGGATCTGACAGCTTTGATAAATGTACAGATGGAAAAGCATGATAATTAAATGGAAGCCAACAGTATGGTCTTGCAAGAAGACAAATGACATGATTGAAATTTGATGTGAAAGCTCAAGTTCTGGAGTTGCATATCATACAGTAAGATGCCATACCAGTGGCATAGGAATACCATCTAGTTAAACAGTAACAAAGTCAGAGTACATAGTCTTCAGGTATGTTCCATTCCATATGGCAGCATTTTATTTTTATTGGTTAATGACAAATTGGGAAAGGAGGAAAATGTATATATTCTCGTAGTACAGTATTGTAGGAGCGTGTGGCACAGGGTGTAAGGCGTTGGACTTTCAATCAGAAGGTCAGGGGTTCGAGACCAATGTTCGTCACACTGCTTGTGTTCTTGGGGAAGACACTTTATCTGCATTTGCCTTTCTTCACCCAGGAATATAAATGGACACAGTACCTGGTAGGAGGTGAATGATTCAGAATGAAATTAGTAGTGTTGTTTACAGGCATAGCTAGGAATACTCCTCAAGGAGTGGGTTAGCTTAAACGTTGTGTATATTGATTCTTTGTCCAATGACACCCCCTAAAACGCGCATGGAGCATTTGTCTGGATATGTGCGCTTATAATTCCTGTTAAATAAATAATAATAATAATAGTAAAAATTAATTGATATAATGTAGTAATTATCGACATACAATTAACACTATAAAAAGATGGCTATACAGTAAGATGGCTTTGGGATTCCAACATTTTATTTTTGCAGGTGATGTGTAAATCCTTTACTATCAGTAGAACCTCATTTTTACGTACCTTAGTTATACGAACCCTCAGGTTTTCGTACGCCATGTAAGGACGATGATGTCATCAATAACCCCCAAAATACTCGAAACAAATGGCACTCTTCAGGGTCACCATAATGTAAAAGAAGATTTGTTAGTTTCTGTCTATTATCTCAATACTGTAACAATAAACAAACCATATGCAAAGAATTTGCATTCAACAGCCAACTTTGATTGTGTGTAATTAATTGCTGTTAGTTATATTATCTAAAAACGTGGACTGAGCGAGATGAACAACTACTGTCGCTGCACAAAATAATTTCTTTCCTTCTTAGGTTCGTGTGAAAAACTAGTTTAATCAAATTTTGTACATGAAGTTTACAAAGCTGTGTAGGCTTCATTCTACTCACAAACGCTAACTGTTTGGCTCACCCAGTACAGTGCACATGGTTTTAGTTTGTCTTAGCCTGCCCAGACAACACCGCAGCTCTGTTGTTTAGAATAGCCATCAAGGGGAATTCCCAATTCCCCTTGATCTTAGTTAAATAAAAGATATAAATTTATAAATTAATACACTAGACACATGCTTTTATTTGAACACTTTATTATGACATCGTAAAGTGATGAATAGAAACACTAACACAAGGTTTTATTTGTAGGCCTTGGCCTATTGTTGTAGGCTTAGGTAACATCGTTTGTTCATAACATACATTTATTGAGTCTTGCGTACGTATCAGGTCACCACAAATTTAACCCAAACTTGATTTTATGAATCCCCAGATTTACAAGGCTGTACTGTAATCACAAATCACAAAAAAATAGATGGTTTAAACCCAGATCTGCATCTTAACCACTCTTGCTTTCATTTCATTGCAGTTTATATTAAATTCTGAAATCCTCTGGATGAACCCTAGTGCATTTATGTGAACCAAAGCACAAATTAACCAAAGCACAAATTGATCACAGCACAGCCGGTTTGTGAAGGTTTGGATGTGGCCTAAAAATTTATTGCAATACTCAAGCCAAATTGTATCGTAAGTAAAATACACAATTCTTACAGTACTTGATGTAATGTAGTATGGATTTATATAGCGCTTTATTTATACCAAAGTCAAGTGTTTGGGGTGTTGACTAGCTCATACAGTAACTTTGCTTCTCCCTTTTGGTACCAGGAACAGTACTTTTGTCTGTCTACGACAGGGGCTGTACGGACAAGTACATCAAGGTAACACCCTACTAGTTTCGAAAGGTTTAAAGTGCACATGATCCAAATTGGGCACTGAGCCTACGGTTTATAGTGGCTGTACATTGCTGCTGCCCTTACTTAACCGCTTGGCCATTCAACTCACTGATACATCCTGCATATTTACTAATCAGGAAACCTAAGTTATAATTGAAATAATGTTACATTTCCTGTGTTTCTATTGTTAATAATTTTGTTGTTAATTGTTGAGAGTAGTGCTAAGTTTCAGACTAACACATAAAATAACAGTTTAATTTTATTCACATTAATGGTTAGAACAAATAATATATGATTTTTATTTGTTTCTTTAACCAGGGGGTATACATTCAGTGACTAGCACTGCTTTCCGAGGAAGCCCTGGTACATACAGTAAATATAACAAAAAATGTTATTCACGAAATTCAAAAGTAAATCAAAAACAATGATAAGAAAGCCTAAAACTTAAATGATTTTAAGGGGCATAAGGGTCGAAACATTTTTCATTTAAATAAAATAAAATAATATAATGGTCATATAAATCCTTGTGTTTAGTTGTTGGCTTAAATAACTCTGATGTAATTGGTTATGGTTAATTTCAACCTAATTTGTACTCAATTTTATAGTCAACATTTTGATTAATGTTATTCTAGTAGATAAAAAAATGCAGCTAAAATGTACAATCAATATGGCATCCTATGTGTTTCCATTAAAATCTTACTAGAAATTATGTAGTTTCTATGTTCTCCTGTTTTTGTTTATTTTTCAGGTAGCTAGCTGATGTTGAATATCTAACTGATAGAAAATTAATCAGGAGGAACTTTTGATCAAATGAATGCATGTTTTTCCATAAAGTATTGAAGAAAGATTGTGGAAAATACTAGTTTGGAATGTATGCTCATATCTCAGCAGTTAGTAATCCAAAATTGGAAGTTATTGATGTGTGCTGTTTTCTGATGTTGAGATGATACACATGTGCATATGACGACACCTATATTTTACTAATGTACCGGTACATCTTTGTACTCTTTTTCAATCATTCTTAGCGATTGCATCCTCTTACAGACAGATATACTGTATACTGTAATTACGGTAATATTTTTTTTCATCCTTCAGACAGATATACTGTATACAGTAATTACAGTAATTTTTTTTTTCATCCAACAGTCTAGCAAATTATTATGGTGTCAAAACTTTTTTTACAAGGAGTTTAATGATCATTTGTAGCTTTTAGGAAAGTACAGTAGCAGACTCCCTGTGACAGTGAAAATAAATGCCATGTTTTTCAGACTAAAAATGCTTTAGGCAGTTTATATTAATAATAAGAATAATAACAACAGAATAATTAATTATAATAATGTAAATAAAAATTATATTAATTATGATAATGATAATACAGATTAAATAATAAAATTACAACCTCCTTACACCAGCCCTATAATGAGGAGCACCCAATTTTTAGTTAAACATCTCTGTAAAAATAATGGTACAGTCTTATGGTTAACACTATATGAAGGTCAAAAAGAAAACTCAGACCCACTAAACACATTATAGTCACAAAAGTTCAGCCCTTAACCCTCTTCATTTGGTTAAAACTCCCTTATAAATAGTTATGGTACAGTAAAAAAAAAATCAGCACTAGGTGTTTCGGTCTGAGAAAACTCTTCCCTTCATTAAGCTCAGTTATTTTTACAAAATTAAAACAAAAAGAAACAAAATATTATTTATTATTACTGTTTACGTATACTATACAGTACATATAAAATTCCTTTATGCACTTTGCAACAACAAAATAGTGCACATGAAATAAAAAGTTAATTGATTACTTTGAAAGTTAATAAATAAAACAGAAATATCAATACCTGGTTTTATCAAATTTGCAAGCAAAATTCAAGCAAGTGTTCATATTTTATCAGTGGTAGATTTTTGGGACAGTTCTCTTTCAAGAGATGGTGTGGTTCGAATCCACACTACCACTATTGGACATTATGTTTGTTATTTTGTGTAGCTCTAGTCAGGCTGTAGTTCATATTTTTTGTAATTCATGTAATCATCACACAAAGTTTAATTTTTCAAAAATTCAAACTTAATAGAAAAAAAAAACTACTATTTTATTAGAGTGCACCACCCAATTTGAGACCCCACTAATTTGAGACCACTTTTTCAAAGAACCAAATAAGAATCTTCATTTCTTTTATTCACAAAGTAACCCTCTAATTGGAGACCGAACCCAGAGACGACCCTAAGTTTTCAGACCACAAGGCGGTCTCGAATTTGAGGGCGAGCTGTACTATTAACGTTTCTAATCAGTTGTTAGTCAGATATTAATACCTTTGTATATAAAATATGAACTGATTTTTTATAAACCTTGTATTTGTAAATGGAAGCAGCTTAGCTCATGTTGCTATATTGATGGTAGCATGTGTGTCCGATGAACGTTGCCAGTTCAATTCCGTCTACTGGAGAGCTGAATTGCAAGTTTAAATAATGCAGTCCTTCATAAGAGACCTTTAATAGTAGTTATGGAAATGTAGCTTGGTTGCTAAGATGCTTGCCCCCCAATCCTAGTGCCTGGGTTAAATTTCTCTCTTATGGTGTATTGCAAAACCAAGCACTTTTGAAAGTTGTATATTTCGTTAGGTTTATTAGCTTCCAACTTTAAATTAGAAATTTATAATGAAATCATTGCCAATAAAGATATTTGAATATATATAGACTTAGAATATTCATCCCTGCCAGCAATGATTTGCAGTAGCGGATTCAATGTGAGGCGGGGAAGTGGGATCCGTTATTTCTAATCCTTTAATCCGCCACTGATTTGCACATTAAAATGTCTAATTGAAAACTGATTTCTGTGTTTTTTTCAATGAGTAATTCAGAATTTTTTTTTCTTAGGTTTCTCATGTATTTTTAGTTGACACTAGTACTGTATAAGTTTAAAAACACAAAGCTATTTTAATTTTAAAACACCATACTGTAAAATAATAAAATACATCATACTTTTTAATAATTTATTTCTGTCTATCTTTAATATATCTAACCTGTGATGACAGAGCCATTCTAATGAGTGATGTCAACGATTGCTGTTATAGGTTGCAAAATCTGCCAACCAGATTCTCTATCTACTTCACCAGTGACGTATCTAGCAATCTCAAAATCGAAGGGGGTGCTCAATGATATTGATGACACTAGCTCTCAAAATAAGGTGATACGAGGTGATCTAATTGAGCGAGATTTTTTGGCTTCAAACATTTTCAGTTTGGGTGACTATGGGGGAGTACCCCAGTAAAAAGGAATATTACCAAGACCGTGGTAACATTCCAATTGGTAATTATTACCACTGTCTGCACATGTTTTTTGAGTCGGTTAATTTTACTGCGAGAAATTATAAAACTGATCAGGAGAATTGACTATTGAAGGTGCTAATCCATGGCATCTCCATTGAGTAGTGCTCAAACAGGTGTTCTAATTGGACCTTTTGGCTCTGTAAAACTAATCTGTTCAGTTTTACATGGCACAATCCACTTAGGTTAACCGCTCATCTCGGTAAGTTTCCAGGGATGTTTGTACTGGACGACTTTTGGTAAAATTAACCAGCGCCTTGGTTAGTTGTACTGAAAATAGTCCAGTGCGATTGCAGCTTAAGTAAATAAAATCGTTGGTCTTACTGTGGTGAGATTGGATGTTAAACGAAGAATGAACTATTAAAGCAAACTAATTTGTGTGTGTGTGTGTGCTTTGTCATAGGCCTACTGTTTTTTTAGGGTTTATCTAACACTTCATTTTAATTACAAAGTGTTTATTTTGCCAGCTAAAACTCATCCTCAAGGTTAGTATTGGAGTGCGCCCTCACTGATCATCACTAAAATGCTTTGCGAACGAATAGGTATGCTAACGCCTATATAACATTCAAAGGGTCACATCCACATAAGATTTCGCTAATCAGAACTGTACTGTTTTTTATATCTGTAACACGTACTAGAAAATGTGCCTATATGGTTTCTTGTTTTCATTAGAATAACAATTTTTTTTTCTTTTTTTCTTTTTTTTTTACAGTTAGGCCTAGGCCTACAGCTAAGGTGTATGTGTGCCATGTGTGCGTAGAAAAGTACAGATTCTGTAAAGAGATCGAACCTTCACGATTTGATTGGTTAGAAGTTTGCCCAGAACTACGTCATTTCATTGCGTTATCCCTAGAGAGAGAAAGAGAGCTGCTGCCTTAGCGCAGCTAGCTCTGTAGCTAGCTTGTAGCTTGCTTATCTGGTGACACCAGGTGACGCTCGCGCAAACTAGCATTCTACACAAGGGGGACAGGTAGGCCTAGGCCTACATCCAGATTATAATTTCATTCTCAAAATATTATTTTTCTTAACTGTGTTGACTAAACTACCTATATACGCGACAACCAAGTAATTTTGTCCAGCCGGTAGCTTTGTCGGAGGCTACGAATGTCAGGAGCTACGGAGAACAAAGGCTAGGCTAAGCCCTAGACTAGGCCTAGCTTACTGACTGACAGGTATAGGCCTAGCCTAGCCCAGGCTTCAAAGAAGAATGTCCAACATGCCGACCGTTGCCTTAAACGAGGCATCTCTAATAATAGCTACCTCTATAGTCTTAATAAGTAGGCCTAGGATAGTCTAAAGTCAAAGGCCTAAATAAATGATTGATTATAGGCCCAATTTATATTAGTCTGTTTTTAGTTTAGTTTAGGCCTAGGTTAGGTAGGCCTAGCCTAGCTAGGATAGTCTGAGGTAGGCGTCTTCATCTCTCTAGCTAGGCTAGCTTAGCCTAAACTATGTGCTAAAATTTTGCAGGACATCTCACTAACTTCATCAACCAGGCCTAGGCCTACTTCCTTATGTAGGCCCTATGGGATTGTTAATTCTTTTCTCATTTATTTTATAGACAATTCAGAGCATTATCATGGCTTTTGCAACACATGCAGGTTCTTCATTGCCAAGTCTAAAAAATGTTGCAAGTAAGTCTATAATGAAGGCAAAAGAGATATCAAAGGTATGTGTAACATATTAGTGTAGGCCTGTTACACACTTGTTATTTTTATAAACACTAATTCAAGAACTATCATCTTGTAGATTATATGAAGAGGTGGACCTCTTTTTAGATTACAGTAGATTCTTCCTGGAGTTGCATTCTTTATATTTTAGGTCTTGGAGTACATCTTTCTTTTGCAAAAACAGTACACAGGTGGTAGGACAAAGCTGAAAGTTTACTTAAAAGAAGATTTGGTGATTTCATCAGTGACAACAATGTGCTGCACAGTTGAGATTGAAGGGGAAGGCAATTGGACACAACACTTTAGTGCAGAACAACTATTTTCAGGTGATTAATTCAAAAGTGTATGTGAATGATTTTAGGGATTTTTTTGGTTTTCAGTTAGCTGTTATTCATTTCATTTCATTTTATTCAATATCAAAATCGCAGTCGAGGACTGAATTAAATGATACTTACAATAATAAAGAACAGTAATATAAAAACATCAAAGGAAAGTAATATAAAATCATCAAAGGATTAATTATTAATTAACAATACACAAACAGCACAGATTAAAACATTAAAAATTGCATTTTATTATTATTTTTTATTTACTTTTGTTTTTTATTCATTATTAATCATTTTTATGTTGTTCTTTATTAACATCAAATTATAATAATATTATTAAAAATATTTGATGCTATTCCAATGTTATTATTATTGGTTATTTATTAGTTAATATTGTTATTATTGCTACTGCTTCTGTTACTTTTATTATTAATCAGAGTTACAATTGGTGTTTTGAGTTCTAGCTCTTTGGGCCAGAATTTGCCATGCTGCCTTGGTTTTTGGCAACCATAATGTTTTATGTGGAAAATAAATGTTTGACATTTAATTGTACAGTATACACAGCCAACAATTAAATAGTTTTGTTGCTTCACTCTCAGTGTCTTAACACTAAGGCCGTGGACCTATGTTTTTCTGAGAATGGGGGCCCTTTTTTGATCCTGTTCGCTAATTCCATTGTGGAGTTTAGATGTTTGCCATTTTAAATATTATATATGTTTTAAGGATGTCAGTGGCAGATCTAGTAGAAATTGAAATAGAGGGGTTCAGGGAGAAACGTAAACAGATGGAGGATCTGTACCACCTCAGGCCAACATGGTTGGCACTGAGGTAGAAAAATTTATATGTTTATAGCACCTCTAGATGGCCAGAAATGGCACTCACAGACTTAAATTTTGAATATTATTTTCTTTTTATCTCTATTGTTTTCGCAAATTTGACAAAGCCAGGAGCCCCTTAATCCATCACTGGGTATAATAGGATATGTCCTACTGTCGATGTCAGACAAATTATTCTATTAAGTATCAACACAGCTCTTTTGGGTCAGGGTGCTAGATCGAGGACCTTATGGGTAGGGGGGTAGGGGCCTAGGCCCCCTAGGAGTCGGGGCCCTGCAGACTGCTGCACTAGAGCACATAGGTGTTACGCCAATCTTATTTTGTTCATGTTGTTTAATGAAATAGGTGAGATTGATCCACTGCTGTCTGTTCTGTTGGACACCGTTGGCACATTTGAAGTTGATGTAAAAGATTTTGATGAGAACAAGATTAAACATGCCAACGTTTCAGTAGAAGATGGTGATGATATGGCCATTAAGTTTTCAAGATCCGATTGTACTGGCAACGAGAAAGATTTTCACTGTAAATACCTGGTATGTTCAGTCACTTTACCTTGGCACACTTGTGGGCTCCCACCGTTAGTTTGCAGTAGTAATCTCGAAAAGGAGCCCATCTCTAAAAGAAGCACAGGACTTCTGATGGAGGTTTTACGGTGTATCAAAATATTCTGCCTCTGTCCAGTATATCAAGAGTTTTATTATGTGAGAGATTTGTGTGATTTGCACAGTTATTTGTTACATAAAACTTGTTAATATGGGCAGAGAAAGACATTTAGTTCAGTGGTTGTGATTTGGGGGTTTGTTCTATGTTAGCATTATGCATTTTGGGAAACAATGGCTGGATTGATCAGCAAATGATAAATGGAAATGTAAGCTAAAATGTGTATTGCTGTATCACATATTTAAGAGGTACCCTAACTTAATAGAAAGTATTAATACTTCTTTTATTTCAGATTGTTGTTTCAAGAGACAAACTGTTGGAAATGTTGGTGGAATTGAAAAGCTACATTCATGCTGTCTTCTTGCTAAATAGTTTGGTTTGTTTTCTTACAAAGAATATTTTTTTAAATTTGATGAAATTTAATATTAATAATAATGCTGAGTTTTAGAATTTAATGATCTTAGTAAATTTTAGCTAATCTTAATCTAATTTTAATTAAAATACCGTATTATTATTACTATATTTATTTTACTGTCATTGCAGCCACCGGTTGAGCTTATTGTAGAGACATCACAACATTCTGAAACTAAAATATTTGGGTAAGAATTTCAAAATTTGAATTATGTAGTTTTATAATATGTATAGAATATAATCATTTTTTGAATTAGTTCTCTCATAACTTGATGCCATATTTTGGGCAATCCATTCTATCATCATTTAAATGGAAACATCCTGAAAAATATGAGAGAGCTACAATTTATTTCACACTTACGTGTATGTTTAGTTATTATCAAGGAATTGAGTAACCCTACTGCCTTGTGGCAGTTTTTATAATTAATTTTACCATCAGAAGAAAATTAATTACGGTATATTATTGTTGTTATTTGCAATTGGACTTAAATTCAACGTCTTTCTACATAATATATTGTAGAAATGATGCTAGGAGCCGGGTTACTAGCAGTGGGAAACGTCTTGTTTCTGATGCGTGCTACTTTACAAGGTAAAGTATCCACAATGAAGTGTGGCTTGCCATCCCAAAACCAGAATCAGTAAACCAAAAATATTTAAAAAATTTACGTTTTAATATATTTTTTCTCCAAAATGTAAGTTTTAAAATGATGGTCATATATACTGGAATCGACTTACTATTGTGGAAGTTATGAGTGACAATATTATAGCTTCTCTGTATACAATACTGCCACATTTGTAAATGTTAATTACTCAGTTAAACATATAGCGACAGTACTCTGGTTTTGGAATGGCATGCCTCATACGTTATCATTATCCCTCTATTTTCACATTTAAAATTGACTAGTCTTAGGAGTCATTAATTATCAACGTTTTCACAAGTGTACAAACAGTACGCTTGGGAAAAGAGGTAGGCAAATGTGTACATTTTTACGTATGCATGAAAATGTTGGGTCTAAATAACATGCAATATTTAAAATAATAGATTTACAATACCAATTATAATGCAACCATATAATTAGACATTTCTATGCTACCAAGTACAGTGCTTTAGTTGATTTCACAAAAAAATGGAGAATGGTTTTTTACAAAATTGACATTTTTATGTACACTTTCAGACAGGAGGGAGGGTACTGAAAAAGAGTACTGTTTTTGCACTTGTGAAAATGTTAATAATTGTGAGTGACCCCTTAGCGTAGTTTGTATTGTTTTTTTGTTGTTAATTTTATTGCTTATATTTTGGTAATTCTTTATGCATGTATCTGTTATGTTAACAGAAAAGTAAAGATAAATTATTCCATCTTGAAATCAATGACGCATTATACGTGGCCTGTTAGCACACCCACCAAACTGAAAAATATGAATTTCTGCAAAGAAAAATTATTGTTCACCAGAAATGAAACTGGTGGCGGTAGCCACTGCGTGTGCTGGATAATGAAGATCTTTACACAGCTATTATCCACAGTTCAATTCTGTCACTGTCACTGTTTCAGCAAAAGGGCTGAAATGCTAGTTTCCATACTGTTCTTCTTTCAGAAGAGATGTTTAGGCTGTTGGTACTGAGTGCTCAGTGTGCTTGTTAAAGAACGCAGTACACTTTTCGGAAAATAGGCAGGATTTGTCTCAGGGTGAACTGCCCAATTTACCACAAGAAGGACCTCACCGAAAATAATTCTTTGGCCCATCTTTCATGGGCCTCCTTGGTGTTAGTTTTACGCAAAAAATCCATTCAAATTACAATTGGAACTGGAGTGAGTGTTGAAGTGCACCCTATGTTACACACATTTTTTTATTCTCTAATTTTTATAACTTTATCATCTACCCAGAAGCTTTTCCATCATTTTGAAAATCTCTAAAATATAGTTTGTTAAAAAAGTATTGAATCTGTTACAAATTTAATATTGTTAGGAGAAGCCATTTTTGGAAGATCTATTTTGTTGAATGAGCTTTCTTAAAGAGTCTTCCAGAAATGATCAATTTTACAGAACTGGTTACATTAAAAAGCATGTTTACATTATATTGTGATTTATTTGAGTGTTAAATGTAGCTTATGTCTGTCTTTGAAGGTTAGCAGCTGGAGAAAGTGAACACACTCGCCTCTGTTACAAGACTAGCAGCAAGTTCCTTATCACCTCACCTATGTTGTCATCTGAAGACCAAACATCGCTCAAGTTATTCGTCACTGTGGCTACGATTCCTTCTTCACCTAGTCAACAACACACAACAAAAATGCTGAATATATCCACATTTTTATGGCTGTATTAAGTTATTATGTTTCATAGAATACTATTTTGATTGTGTTGTATCATATCATTTATATAAAATCAATTTATAAATTGAACAAATTTTGAATTAGACTTGAGTGCTAATTTTAAGGCATGTTTTTGCATTAACCCATCCATTAACTGATTAGTATGCCTTGCATTTAGTGAAAATCATTTAAGATTTAATTAATAGTCTTATAATTACCATTTATCTTTTAAAGTATATTGCGTGATGTTAGTTAACTGAATTTCAAGGTATTTTAAATGAAAAAGTATATAGTTGGAATCTTTCTTTGACTTCCTGCACATCTATTTCTTTGGTCCAGATGGACTTCCATTGGTTCTTCCTGGTGTTTCCCAGTACTGCGTGCTTCCTTTTCAGCTTGCCAAATGGGAAAAGTTTGGACTTCATGTTGGACAGCAACTAGAAAGAAATCACTCAAACCATGGTAATATAAGATTGTACACTTTTATCAAAAATTATAACTATAATAATAGCAAAGAAACATTAGGGCAAAAACATCATTCTTATGGTATTTTTTCTGATTCATAACACACCATGGGAGTAGCATTGCAGTACCCGCTGCTACTTGGGGATTGGATTCATCACTAACCACTAAGCGCAAGCTCAGTGGTCAAGTGGCTAAGACACAAGGCTAGATATCTGGAGGCCGTGGGTTTCGATTCCCACCTGAATCACTTACAAGATTTTTTCACAAATATTTGGGAACTTACTGAACATTCTTTCACTAGAAGAGAACCAGGGCACTATAATGAAAGATATAATGTTCAACAATTCAATTGATGGATATTTTTATCCTTCAGCCAAGGTTCAGAAAAACCTATTATTGAAAACATATAGTTTAGAGAATTTATCATAATATATTAAATCTATCAAATTAAAAATTTTGTTTGTTATACTTCTTGTATTAACATATTCTAAGAATCAAATATGTTGAACTTGTTTTTTTAGGTCAATAAAGTGAAATGGCAGATGTTGAGGTTATAGTCATAATTTAACAAGTGGAACATTTTAATGTTGACATAATGTTTATGTCAATACAACAACACAAGAACATTATTTATTATATTTTTAAAATTCTTACTTAATGCCGAGATTAGTTCTTTGTGTTGAATTTTGTATATTTCATATATACAGACAAAAAACAATGCAAATGCGAACACAAATACTGTACATGGTTTCACTTATAAATTTAATAGTGGATAGTATAATAATAAATAAATTGAGATATAAGTGATAATAGATTTCTAACTACAAATAAGAAAATTCCTATGAATAGATATGAGTAAAATATAATAATCTGGTATTTTCTTAGATTTAGTGTTTGATGTGTACAGAGTGTCATATATTGTTCTCAATGATCATTGTTTAGTTTGCGATTAATGTATAGTCCCCAGTTTTAAACACTGTGCTTTCCATCTTTCAATTTCCACCTCGTAGTATTGCACATATTAGAAAATATCTCTCCATCCACACCACTTAATTATACATGCCATCATAACATCTCGCTCAAACTACTGTAATTCTCTCTTGTTTGGCCTTACTAAAAATTCCATTAACTGTCGTTCAGCGATTAGTCACTGGATAACATATAATGGCAAACTAGCACAAATTGCAACCTTCGCTGCTTCCTGGGGCTCTTCATTGATTTGGAATTTATTTTAATATATAAATACATTTTCAAATGTTGCATTTCAGGGCTTGTCTTGCCTGACCAATCATATCACTTACTGCGGACATCAGATGCTTCCTGTACAGACGATTGGCAGACACTTCAACTTATATTACTTATTGATTTCAACAATCACCATAGCATAAAAGAGAAAAAAGGCAAGAATTTCCACAGCTACCATTATTTTAATAATAGTCAGAGTCTTGAATATAAGTAGACCTACATACTATCATCAGAAAAAAAGGATGCAAATGAAGTTCTACTGCTATTTGGTAAATTCTTAGTGTGTTTGATTCCTTGAATGACTAATTGAAAAGTTAGTGTTGGTTTCAAATATGTGTAGTTTTCATTGGACAGTACTGTGTTGTAAACATATATTAATAACTTTGTTTTTTTCATGATACAGAAATTTTAGAGGCAGTTCGTTCAAACCTAAGCTCAATAGTAACCGAGCAAGGAGACAAGTTTAGGAGGGCAACACACAAGGCACTGACTAAACTATGGGTCAACAAATCAACAATGAGAGATGTAAGAATATTTTCGTACATTGTATTTTTTGTTCATGCTCTTACAAACTGTGCTCCATAAACCATTGGGCGTATTCGACTGGTTCATTTCGTTGAGTACGAATTTTCGTTGAGTATTATATTATTTTCCTTCGCTGGTTCGTTAAATAGACTGATTAACACAGAGTGCGTTAATCAGCGTTAAGTTATCCATGTGACCAAAAAAAAAAACATGGCCCATTGGTGAGTTTATAAACAACCTTTGCGTTAATATAACTTAGATTAAATTTCATAAAATAAAAATTATAATATTTACCCACATAGAGTCAAAAAATAATTGTAGGCTAACAGAATTCAAAAACTGGATGAAAATATTTTTTTTACGAAAAACCCATACTACCACAAATTGAAGCAATCTTGATTACGCAACGTGTATCGCGGTAACTATACAGCCATTTTGTTTGTCGAGTATTTACAAGTTTTCTATTCGACTGGTCGTCTTCGATTTTACCGCTGCGTAGGTGGGCGTGGTTTAACAAAGAACGACCGGTCGAATACGGCCATTATTTGATGGACTTCCTGCAAAGCCCCGCCCCTTGGATATTGTTGCTAAGGCCCCACAAAACGATAGCGTAAATTTACGTAAACAGGTGCGATTGTGGGACAACACAAGTACTTGTTGGACATGCGTATATTCCTTGCACTGTTCCCATTGGTCAGTGTTAAGTTTGATTGACGCACTGGAAAGGTCCATTGATTGACAGGTGAAGGTTCCTGGCAAATTTGCAAGTGTATGGCACATCCAAATGCCGGAAACTGCACTATCAAACCTAATTCTAAATGGTTTTTTTTCTCCCATTTTTAAAAACTTTTGGGTCCCCTTTCCCTTGAATTTCCCGCTGATTTTGGATTTACCATCGTTTTTTTATGTTTTTATTTAATAATAAATTGAGGTGTAGGTATGTGTTTTGTAATGTTATTTTTGAATATGTGTAGAAGCAAAAGATAGTTGAACAGGCAGTACCTGTGGCTGTGAAGGCAGTGGGAGTCATTTTCAAGCATAGTACAAACGAAGAATTCAGGAAAAAGTGTTTATCCAAGTTACAGGTGAGTTCAAAGATATACCGTGTTAATATATGGGAAAAAAAACATTTAATAAGTCATTTACCAGGATCATATGAGAGATAAGTTTCCAATGAAGCATTGATTCAATCATTTTAGCTGGCAATGAGTAGCAGAATCTTTACTACAAAAATCTTTAAATTGTTTACTAAATAATTCAAAGGATGTGCAAAGAGTAAAGAATTGTATTGTATGTGTATCTGTTAATTTAAAAATAAATATTTTCTGATTCTAATTAATATCTGATTATTATCGGATTCATCATCTTTGCATAACCATTTTTTTTAATGATATATGATATGGTAGCTTAAGTCATTTTTAATTATTTTTTTATAATCAAAATTGAATTTTGCCTTCAGGCCAGGATTAGTAACTAATTTTCATGTTTTAAAATGTTTTAATAATGAAGTGAAATGTTTCAGGTAAAGATACAATTTTATTATTTTAGTTAATGATCATGTTTTAGGTCTGTAATAGTAGGGAATTGTCAGCAGAGATGACTGCGAGGCTGTGGTTTATTGCTAATAGAAAGTTTAACGTCGCCCAACCAGCCAATAGTAAACCTACTAAATCCAAGACCAGCACACCTTTGCTTACACCATCAGCCTTCAACAGCCAACACACTGCTAGTCGCCAGTCTAATATGAGCAGTGTAAGTGTTATAGCCATTAACATTTATGCTACTAAGTTTATAATACAGGGATCAATACCAATATCCAATGGTAACATAAGTAATATGCAATTACAAAAATTTAACAGAAAGTTTATTTTACATTTAAGCTGCCTTGCTGTGCGAATCTGCATACACAGGTTGCATACAAGATTCTTCCATGTCAATGTGCTTTTGTATAATGTATATATATAATTAATATTGAATATAATAATTTTTAATGGTGTTTTATATTTATTTACATTACCTTAAAACTTGTATAGTTTTATATTGTTTGTGAAATGCAAAGAAGCTTTTTGTTTAATTAGTATGCACTATATATACTATATGTAACTTTATTGTTGTTATTAATTTTGTTCCCAAAGAATTCCATGTGGCTTTATCAATTTGTATGTTATTTGTAATATTCTATAAAAAAAAAAACAACCAATCAACATTATTGTTGAACAACTGTATTGTTGTTGCTGCTGCTCTTGTCATTGGTTTGATAAAATCATGTTTTTATTGGATTTAATTGCTATGTACTACTGTAATGCAGGATACAACAAGTTTTGAAGAGTTTGGTGATATAGGACTTCTGGTTTGGGATGAATTGAAAGATCTGGATAATATTGTATCAGCTGGTTCAAAAACTCCTGATCAAAATTCACAGCTTGAAGACAATGTAATTATAAAACAACTCTGATCATTTCTTTAATCAATGAAAAACAATTGAGATTAAAATTTTTCCCTTTTTTTTGTGGTATAAATATAATTCATCTATTGGGCATTCTCGTATTAAATAATATAAATAAGAAACATTGAGTTTTACAGTAATTAAACTGATATAGTAAATTCAATCTTTATATTACTGCATAGGAATCATTGTTAATAGTGTGTTATTATAAATACTGTTATTATAATCAGTTTCATATAAATTCTTTGTGTATAAAGAAATTTTCATCATTATTCTAATATTCTGTTATTACAATACATTTTTACTTGTTTTTTTTATGTTCATCTTGTATGTATATACATGAGATATTGATATACACCATAAATAATACCAAAACCAACTGTTGGATAGCCATGATAGTTTGGCTATTGATAACACTACCTATTAACCAGTTAAGACTTTGACAAGATTTATGTGATAAATTTTTTTTAAGAGGACCGTTTGAAGGAAGATTAGACTAATTTCATAACACTATATTATACATATTAGAATGTTATAAGATTAGAATTTTACTGATGTTCTTGATGTGTATAATGATGCTTTTTTTTAAATTTGGATGTTATTTTTTCTCCTTTAAAACTCAATTCAGAGTTTTTGCTGCAATGTTTTTATTGCTTTTTCCAAATTTTCTAAATAACTACCATACAATAATATTTTATGTATTTCTGAGAATGTGTGTTTTGTTCTAATTTCAGGCATCAGGGAGTTTAACTAATGATGATTGGTTCAGCCAAGCTTTAACGGATTGTGATTGGTTAAGTTGCTCAGGCCCTGAAGAATGAAACACAGATTGTGATTGGCTACATTGATCAGACCCTGAGAAACAATATAAACAAGAAACACATAAAGTGATTGGTTAAATTGCTCAAGCTCTGAGGAATAATAACAAGAAACCATAATGTGATTGGCTAAATTGCCCAGTCTCTCAAAAATAATAGCAAGAAAGACATCATGTGATTGGCTAATTTTCTCAGGAACTGAGGAATACCAGGGAGTTGTTATATAGTGACTAAAATATTTAATATCCCTGGGAATATTAAACATGACATTTTTCAGGTCCTAAATAAACAAAACCATATAATGTAATTGGCTAAATTGCTCAAACATTTTCAGGACAACCGATCTTGTTAGCATGTTCAGCTACAAAGGCAGAAAAGTTAAGAAATAAAGTAACATTTTGTGTATTGTTTCATTTTATTCAATCGTCATATTTCTGCTTTTAAAAAATAGCACCGCGATATGTAGTTTACAATTGGCCTAATTTTCAGAAAAGAAAATGAAAGCACTGTACCTGTATACTTTTTTTGTAAATAGTTTAGAAATAGCTACTAAAAACCAACATTAATAGAAGACCAATGTTCGTTCACAGTAACTTACATGTCGGATGAATAAATTTTAATTAAAATTTAGATGCTAAAATTAACCATATTGATATTAAACTTCATGATTGTTACAGAGATAATTATTCTAATTTGTCAAATACCAATATGGTTAATTAGCATTCTTTTGTAAATTTATTCATCTGACATGTAAGCCCTTTATGTACAAACATAGATTTATTTTTTTTATGACAAATTATATACATGTATATGTGTATATATATACATATATACATTCCTATTATATAAATACATATATATATACATACATATATATTTATGTATGTAAATATATGTATATATTATATACATCTATGTATATATATGCAGAAGCGGTAAAAATAACTGCATACATATGCCTTTATCATTATTGTTTATTATAAGTATATCACCATTATTATTCTTAATTAAACTTCATTTTTTATATAATTGTTTAACCCATCATCTAATAAGCACCTGGATCGAAAATTGGATTGTATTTCATCAATAAGCATTCCTTGATGCCTTGAATATGGATATATTTAAAGAATCTGTTTACACTTTTATCTCAATTCATTTCCCGGCAGCATTTGCTTTGATGTACCTTCAGTTTCCTTCTCGTATCATTTACACTTTTATATCTCAATCAATTTATAATTCTCCCAACCATTAAAAACGCTTTGAACAGAAAAATGAAGAACAACGATTTAATAAAATCAATGGGTGTTCTTAAAATTTATAACTTGTTGGAGCCCTCATAAATTAACCAATTGAAATACTATATTCTGGGAAAAAAATAGCAAATAGCAGATACAATGGTCAATGATTATCAGAAGTAAACTAAATTACTATTTTTGCTTTTCCATAACTTCTTGCCTTGGATAATTTTTTTTCATATTTTTAAATCTACACATAGGATATAATACCAGAAGCAAAGCAAATGTTTTTATTGCTATTTAAAAAAAAAAAACAGTACTGCACAACGGAGTATTACTTATATGCGGGTTCAAAAGTGGGGAATGACTTACCAGGTGTGCTAAGAAACTGCGTGAATATTTCGGCATTTTAAAGAGCATTACCTAAACAGATATATAAACAAAAGAAGAAGCTCAAACCCGGAAAAGTAAAGTTACACAAGACAAGAACAGCGTGATGCAGAATCATTATTATTATAAATACCATATACTTCGGCCCTGGTTGCAATTTTGATGTGAATAAAAGAAACTGAAAGGAAATCCAGAAGCCGCCTTGAAAACGTTTTTCTATCACATCTCCATAAGTGCAGATGATTAGGCCCAGTATGGTAAAGAAGCTCATGAATAATTTATTTGGGATAATAAAAGTGAATCAGTACAGTATCGTTATACCATAGTGAAACCATGGTGAAACCAACACATAATTACGACCGTTGTATAGTAAAGTCTTGTCCTCACCATCCCCGAATCATGGAAGAACAAAACGCTGCAATTGAAAATGCAGAAGAAAACTTGCCATACCAAACTTCTAGTAAGAATGAACCAATGGAGGATTCCGCCGATAGATTTAAATTGTGTGGATGGAGAAGTTGTACGCCTGACAATTTTCAGAAGTTTGCTTCTTTGTGTAATTTGCATGTTTATTTTTATACAAAGTAGATACTGTAATTTAAATAACAATACATCATCTACTAAGGGTAATAAATGAAGGCATTAGATTACCGTATTTATTCAAATAAACTCCCCAGGGCATTTATTGAATTGGGAAGGGTTTTAGAGGGTATGTTTATTCAAACGCCACTTAATTTCACCTGTAAAATACGGAACTACAAGACATATAATTAGCCATCAAAATGTGTTATTGTGTGATCAAAATAAAGACAAATTGATCCTAGCCAGGTTAGAAAAAATGTAATTCTACTGGAGTAGAACATCAATAGAATGTATTGAGAATGATGTTGCTTCTATTAAATTTGTTTACAGTCATTTAGTTATAAAATCCGCATAATTTAACTATAATTAATAGATTAACTATAATTTATAGAAACAAATACTGTAATTTAGAAAATTCCGCGGGATATTTAATATTAATGGCATTGCAAGGCAACTTTTCGGGTTCTTAAAAATACATTTGTCGGTCACAACTTTAGAAGCAACATTACAAGTTTCCAGCGAATTTTTGGTTTATATGTTATGTAATATCTTAGCATTTCTACTAAATAGTGCCACTGAACATTATATTCTGCCGTGGGTATTGGCGCGTGACAAATCCATTTAATTCGTTATGGCATATAGACATAATATACAAACATGGATTTACGCTGTCTACTTTACATATCTTATAGTTTATATTTTTTTTTTTTTAGAGATCAGAGATCCTCTAAAAATATATTGATTCAATTGTCAAAATAGTGTTTCCTTAATATTTTATATTGTAATTATTTAAACGATGTTTTTTTAGGTCACCGTGTACTTCTTCAGAAGCTCCACGTCATGTTTTTGGAACCTGTGGCCCAAAATCTGTAATCGGGTTTCCTCTAATTGTTTCTGAAAACAGCAGCAGACTGTGTTTAGAGTTGCACGGTCTTGCTCAAGTGTTGTACAATCCGGTGTGCCTCAGAGTTCGGTCCTCCGATCGGTTATCTGCAACATTTTTGTTGCAGATATGCTTTCTTCTATTAATTCATACATTTTGCAGGTTGCTGAGAACATTGTTCTTTATATAGGATCATCAGAGTCAGATATAGCTTCGTGCAATTGTTCAATGGTGTTCCCGTAATATTTCTTTATGTTTTTGGTATGTTCTGTTATGTGCTTACCTAGTTCTTCAAAAAATCTTGTCACATCCATGGAATATTTTTAGTATATTTAACACAAAACTTGATAGGGGGTCATGTGTCCATGGTCAAGTATACTTAAATTAAGAGTCTTGTTAGATGTAAACATTTATTTGTTATTGTTAAAATTTATAATTGCTTCCACCAAATGATATAGGCCTATTATTCACTCATGTCTGTCTGTTTATTTGTGTTAGCAATATTACGCAAAAACTAATGAATGGATAATCATGGAATGGTACATAATAATCTAAGAAAGAGATAAATACATTTTTGTTTGACCATGGTTTGAACCAGAAAGACAAGCTTCAAGGTTAGGTCAATATATTAACAGTGGAAATTTGTTACAACCTAAATTTATTATTTACAGACATTTTATGATCTGCGTTATTATGTGTAAATTGACAACAACAGAATTCCATGTGAGTATAATCGTGGAGGAAATAATGGTTATATTTAAAACAAAGCAAACGATGATAGGAATATCCTAATTTGTATTTTTCAGATGTGTTCCCACAGCCAAAGGTCGCTCGCATTAGCGCTACAATGGGTAATGGTACTATGTCTTGGCACAATACCTGGTCCTTCCCTGATCGGAAGTTTATTCGATGCTAGTTGCATTCTCTGGAATAGAACCTGCGATGGTTCTCCGGGGAAGATGCTATAGATACGATAGAAAGCAGCTAAACTTACTGTCGGTCGGGATGCTCACTGGTATCGACATAGTCAGTTTGGTGTTTTAGGCCTATAGCTTGACATATTTTTCTCGCAAAAACAAATTAAACCTGAGAATCTTTTTGAAATGTCAATCACGGAAAACACAATACTTTGAAAGCATTCCTACGTTTAGGAAGCTTACATCATTTTTTAAAAATAATGATACAAATATATGTAAATAGGTACGTTGCCCTACAAAATAAAATAATGTGTCACCTTCCTGTGTTTTGGTCATCACTTAAATTGAATTTAGGATATTGTCATTACGTGCACTCTGGACTTTTTTTCAATAGATTCAAAGCATATCTTTATAGTCAATTTTAATATTTTAGTCTTAATTGCATTGTAATATTTTTTGATTTTTCATTGTATTGTCTTAGTTATTTGTAATTTTAACTTTTGGGAATTCTGGCTCACCTGTCATGAAAACATCGATTCCAGAGGGCTGTTGGTGCTAGACATATTTTTCAATTTCATTCGTTAAGTAATTTCTCCTTCACGTAATTTTATTACTTTTTTTTCATTTTTCACTTTTTACAATTTACAATGTATAAATCTGAAGAAAATAATTAAATTACGAAGAAAAGAGGATTTAGAAACGATATTCACAGAACAATCAATAGAAATAAAAATGTATAGGCCTACCTATTTAAAATATACGGTAAGTTACAAAATAACCATTGTCTCAAAAAGAATCGTGTAAAATGTCTTTAAAAAAAAAAACATTTTAATCTAATTGTTTTGTTAATTGGAAGCGCATTTCCCTTTTGTTTTGTACCCTATCCTGAGATGAAATGTCAAGCTTAGTAACTCTATGATTGATACCGTACCTAGTAAATTAAGAAAATTCAAAATAATCTAATAACCTTATTTTAATGTTTGATTCGAATGTGTCGGCATTCACTGCGCTTGACTGTCGCCGGCCGATGCGATTATGGGGAACGCAATACCACGACGCGAGCATAACGGATCATTTTTAATTACGATCCGTTTAGACTGTCACTGACAATCAGCAGACGGCATCGCCATGAGTGTATGCAAGGGGGAGGGGGTCGGGAAGGTCGTACGACCTCCTAAATTTTCAAAGGTTCACATTTTTTCCAAAGGCATTTTTTTCTAGGGCCTTTTCACAATGACATAAATGAAAAAGCATTGATGAGGTACCAGCAATGAGTCCAAAGACCTTGCCAATTTCGTGACTTAAAGTAATCTATCTCAATTCCAGCAAATTCTGAGACTGAGCCTGTCATCCGCTTCAAGTTAGTGGAGCTGTAATCGATTTTCCTGTCTTCCACTGAAAAGGTCCAAAAATTATGATCACGACCCACCCAGAAAAAATCCTGGATACACCCCTGATCGCGTAGTCTAACGCTCTCAGTGAGCGAAGTTAGATTCGTCGACGGACGGTCGAACGACGCAGTGAGTGCCCGACTTTTTAGATCATTAAAAGAATAATAATTTGCACGATCGTCTGCATATTGAATTCAATTACAATCAGTGAGGCAGGCATCATTAATATAACCTGAAACAATATTTGTCTCATATCAGAAAAGTAGGGGTCCGGGAATACTGCTTTCGAGATTTCCTTTGCTTCAGATTAAAAAAGTAGGCCTAAGATATACCAGTTTTTAAAATTTATTTGGCATAATTTATATGCGTTTTGAATGTATAATAAACCGATGCTTGTGAATAAACCTTGTGAAGTATCTTTGTTAATGCGATTTATTAAGCGTACTAAGGATGACGTGTCTGTCGAGAGCTCTAATCAGATTGAATACAGTAGCCTATAGTTTATTGTTTGTTGGATCCCCATACGTCTATTCTCAGCTCTAAAGAGCCAAAACTCCTGGCAGTTTTACTTCGTAACAGCGCCGTCCATGGAATATGTTCCCACTCTTTAGCCTATGAACACTAGCAGATAATAGCCTAACTGCCCATAAAATGATCTTTATAAGATCCTGATATAATTGAATTTAGAAATCCAACAAGAGTACTACTTATATTTAAACTTTCCATTAGTATAAAATTGAAATCTTCGTAATAAATTTTTGTATTTTGAAATTAATTTTTCGCTTTGGGTAAATTACTTACATTGGAGCATTATTTCTAAACAATTAATAGTAACTAAGTATAAAGCATACTCCAAATAAAGTACCGTAAGACTCGTCATTTTTATTTTATGTTTTTAGATCTTTTATTAGATCATCATCAGGAATAATATTCCAGAAGCGTTACAGAAAATTAACCAATGAAAAACAGTCAATAGGGTTCTGAATTTGCCCTACTATTTACCCAACGCTAGAACAGAATCACTCGTGCGTGACCGTCCTACCTGGCGTCCTACGTTCTTTGGCCAAATTACGTTCCAGAATCTCGACGAGGTGACCTTAACATTCCCGCATGTGCAGACTGAGCTCCCTAATGTAATTATATGATGCTTTACCGGTATCTAAGGCTTAGGGAGTGGAGGTGTTTTTTAGTTGTGAAAAAAAAAAATTGTGGCGCCACAAGATTTGAACACAGGACCATGGAATTGCAAGGCAAGCATCTTAAACACTATGTAAGATTTTATTTCAATTTGTGAAGTTTTTTTTTTTTTTTTTATTGTTTGGATGGCGGTTTATGAATATCGACTAATAAATAAATCTTTTTAACTCTCCCCTACCCTATTTCTATCCCACCATCAAAAACTAAAAGTCCGGGTCAGAATTACCACCTCATCATTACATTCTGTTTCATCAAGTTTGATCTGCTTCTGACTTGGCCTAGTATATAGTATAGTAATGTCAATCGTTAGGATGATAAAGATTTGATTATCACGCCCGCCCCCTAGAACTCATTTCTGACTAAACTGTACTGTGCTATCTCACTTGACCGTTGACGGTACTGCTACATAATAAATTTATTATGAATACAATAAACTTTATCGAAATTCTCATAAAATTATATTAAAGTTGAACAGGTACTGTATCCGTTAGACATAAAAAGGCAACAAACCACAACAATAGTGAAAAACATTATTTTAAAAAGAGAGCAAAAACAACATAGATATTTACATTAATTCGTAAAAATTGCGAACTTACTGCGAATATACCAGAAAGATTACGGCATATTTGCTAAAATTACAAAAATACAAGTTAAGTACAGTATACTTAATTCAACATTTCTAACAAGAAAAGAACTGCGCTTTATAACCTCAAGGAAGAGGCGCATTATAAATGCCTATACCAGTACCATGGAGTGCCAGTTTTTGAATTATAAATATTGTATGCATTGTGTGTTACACAACAATGAAGAAAATCCATGAAAATCTAAGTGCAAAATGTAAAAGCGAAAATGTAACAGCCTAAATAAATCTGATAGAGAACACCGGATGGATACACAAGGATCAGATCAGATATATTAACGATGACGATAGGCCTACACTTTTTTTTTTTATAAGAACCAGTAACATTTAACATTTTGTCCAGGCTCAGTGTTCTTATTTTTTGGCCGATTTCAGGCCCAAAATGTTCTTATTTTGTCCTTACTTTTATACACTTTTCAAACATACCAAATTGTTATTGTATAGTGTTCTGTTTATAGAGTGTATGAAATAGTCACACCACATGCACCACTGCAATTGAGGTACAGATAAAATTATTAGCATTCATATTTACCATGTGAAGGTAAGGGCACGGGCTATTTTTTTTTAAACATCGCTTAACATTTTACCTTAGCCTCAATTTGTTCTTATTTTGTTTTTAATTTTTAAGTGATTTCAGCCTCAGCGTTCTTATCAAGTTCTTATTTAAAAAAAAAAAGGAAAAAAAAGGGAAAAAAAAAAGAAAGAAGAGTGTAGTGAAAGATGTCCGCCAATTAAAAAGAAAATATCGGGGAACCCTCAAACAGTCAAATAACGTTTTAAACAGCTTACCCAAAAGTATCAAGTAAGTTTAACCTCACCAGAAACAGGTGAAAAAAAATAATTTTCGATGATGTAACAGAGGTTTCACTACAGAAATACAATGTGATTAATTACTTAACGATCCATGCAAAAGAAGATAGAAAAGGAATTATTTAACTACCGATTTATGGATGGGGAGATTTTGTTTTCATTCAAATTTCTAATTGTGAAACAAAGAGCAGAACATTTGGAATTTCTAAGGCTGTAAATGTTTATAGGAAGTCAGTGTTTATGATAAACTGCTTACATTAGGGCCTGGTAACATTAAAAATGTATAAATGAAAATAGAGTTAAAACTGTCTATAAGTACGTTATTTTATATTAATATTCATAGGACAGTTGTCCTCGTCACATACAATTCTATTTAGTGAAACATCCAACGAATTAAATTTATGGGAATTCAATCCATCAAAATCAATTTGTGATCTAAAATTGGTTGAGGTCGCGCAATAATTCAGAGTCATCATCATATTTTATTAAATGGATATGAAATATCTACTAACCTTACAGAAAAAGTAACTAGTTTCAGAATAATTTATCTTTGTGTCTTTAAATTCGTTTCATAACTTACTTCACCTTTATTCATACTTCGTTTAGTTTAATAGTTACACTCGATTTCGTGGCAGGCTAAACATTGATTTCTTTGTGTAGGCCTATACTGTAATAAGCTAAGAGATTAGGCCAACTGATGATGGTAGTAATACACTACCGAAACATGTCTTGGGGCAGTTAAGGCCATTTTAATAACTATTCACCTAGAGTGAAACTAACCGTTAAACTGTTGTGCTGTAATTTTTAATAATAATAATAATAATAATAATAATAATAATAATAATAATAATAATAATAATAGGCCTAATAATAATAATAATAATAATAATAATAATAATAATATAGATAATGATGATAATCATAATAACAACAATAATAAAGAGTAATAATAACAACAATAAAATTAGCAATAACAATAGTAAAAATAATAATGATGATGATAATAATAATAATAATAATAATAATAATAATAATAATAATAATAATAATAATAATAATAATAGGCTAATAAGTAACAGAAGGTACTGATAATTCATATATTTGTTTAAATAAACAATGGCAGCGAAATGCTGAATTAAAGTATATTTTCAATATCAAAGATCATACATTTATTTTTCAAACACAATAAATATAACAATAAAAAACAAAAATAGCAATAACAACGGCACTAACATAAATATTTTCCTCGCCTATTAACAGACGCATAAATAAATACCCATTCATCAGCAAGAAACTGAATTGCTTAGCTTTTTGGAAATTAGCGATATAATGACATTTAAAAATTTATTTCTGTATTAGTATAGTGTGCTGTTAAAATTCACACTATATCGACTCTTCCATTTTATCAAAGGATGGCCATGGTTCTAAAATAGGTGGCTAACTGTAGTAATTAGTAATTATATTATTATGTAGATCGACTAGGATTTCATTGTATTAATACCCATGATTGCATTCAATTCAGTTGTTCATAATTTTTACGGAGACTTATCTTGTTTATGTAACGGATTGAATTACCCCCTGACAACAATTCAACGACGAATGCTCACTGTAGCGTGCCAAACAACCAAGAGAGGTTGAATGTGTTTGGTTGAATTGCGGAAACCACGAATGAAAAGGTTTACTAATAGTTGTTGTGTGTGTGAATCAGGAGGCAATATAAAAATAAGTTTTCGTAAACCTGCATTCCTTCCGATGTAAGGGTTGACTCAAGGTAAATTTGTAGTGTCTGTAGCTACAAGAAAGGCAATATTTACGTGTGTGCAGCTTTGTAAGTAGGCCTAGTTTTATATTGTTGTTTCACGTGTGTAGGCCAGTGTTCATTTAGCCTTGATGTTTTTGAGGCTTACATACATTATAGGCCAGAACCGTCATTATTCAACCTAGTTTAACTTTCCTGTAATTGTATGATGTTGAGTAGGGCATCCTTGCCTCTAGGGATTAAATAAAATAAGGGCTACAGGTCATCTGGTTACCCTAGCATAGGTCTATGTGGCATGTTTATACAGTATCAGAAGTAGTGTATTATCTCCTTCAAAAATTGCCTTCACAGTCTTAGGTATAATGATAATGTAGAGTACAGTTAGTTATGAGTTTCGTTCGGGATGGAAAATAATAATAATATAGAAATAGCTCCTTATAATTATGAATGGAACTTAATTGGCTTCCTTAAGGTAAGATAAGGCCTGTGGCCTAGGCCTATGCTTCAATTTTCTGTGTGAGGCCTACTCAGGACATATATTTTAAAAAAATTTTAAGCAGTTGTAAGTATTTGGTTGACTCAACATTATTGACGCGACATTGAAAATCATAAATAAATAAATAGACCACTTGCAATGTTTACATTGACCTATCTGAAATGCTGGCGGTGCCCTACCCTGGTAGGCAGAAGATTCACAAAGTATGAGAAATGCATTAGAAATCAGAATGCTGGTTATCTTTTATTTTGTTGTGCCAAAAATATGAAAGTTTGGATGAAATTCACATACAGTTGAACTTGCCGAAAAGTCGAATCCAAAATGACATTGAAAAATTGTTCGACTCTAGATAAAATTTGACTTTTCAAAATTTGAAATTAATAGAAAAAAACACAACAATAGGCAATTAAAATATGATCGACTTAAAAAATATTAGACTTCGACAAGTTTAACTGTATAGTCATATCAGTGGCATATCTGGGTGTGGGGGTGGAGGGGCTCCAAAAATTATTCAGGGGGCTCCCCCCCCCCAATAAAATCACAGTCAAGTACAGTAGTTAAGATGTGTATAAGAGACAGGGGCCTTTGGTGATGGACGTCCCTCTCTTACTGTTTCCTCTGTCTTGTCGTCCCTTGAGTTTTCACTGTAACTCCAGGCATCTAATAATCAAAACAACAGTCTCATATATGTGTGTATCTCTGTGTATTTTTCTTTAAATATTGTGAAAACTATATCAACCATTAAAATTTCGAAAAACATCTGTCCCAAAAACCCATCTTTTTTAGTGGATATTTCAACGGACATACTGTAGTCAAGGTCAAATTAAAGGTTGTTAAGTGGCAGACTGTCAAGGCCAGCGAGGTATGCAGTGCATACCATGGCTAAAACAAATTTTAAAAAATATTGTAGTAGTTTCTCCATTTTATTTAGCATTTCTTAGTCAGAATCTTCTATATAAACCTTAATTTTGGTAGCATCAGAATAGCCAATTTAACACTGGAATGGAAGCGGTTCTTCCAAGAGTATGTGCGCATGCTCTTCTCACAAATCGGGACCTCCACTCCCGAGCGGGAATTCTATCTATAGGCCTCTCAATGATTAAATTTGCATACATATGACTGGTATAGAAGAAATTTTGAATTATTATTATTTGAATTGAAATTTGTTAAAATATAGGAATAGGAATTCTTTTGAAGAGAAGATACTACAACCATGCTGGTATTAAAAATAACATACATTTGTATTTTGACATATATATACGACACAATCTGATTCTGTATAGTAGTAGTAGGCTTCCAAACTTTCCTACCAGCAGGCCCTATCATCAGTGGCGTAGGGGTCTTGAAATGGAAGGGAGCTGATGGGGGTGGGAAGGTGGGGATCGGTGATTAGGTGAGAGGGGCAAGAGGGGCGTGCATCCTAAATGCCAATACCTAGCATACCCTGCAGGTAACTCAGACACGAAGAGACCCTTGGGGAGAAGAAAGTTACTGTACGCGCTAGTCCACACCTCGAGCGCTTTGAGACTTTGGTATAAAGCGCTATATAAATCAAACCACATTACATTACATTTTTGAGTATTTTCCTATTTTGTTTGGTGGCAGTTACTAATTTTTTATGTGACAGTAAGAGTCATGGGATACTAAATTACATTCTTGGCTTGCTGGAGATATTGTGACAATTGCGAATGACAATTTTTTCAAAAAGTCAAATAAAATAAACAATGTATGATTCTGTGGTACAACATAAAAATTGTTTTCTACTTGCTCCAGCAAAAGATTTTTTGAATATTAAACAAAAATTATGTTTCTTCATGGTGGCATCACCTGGACAGGTGTTATGTTGAACAGCGATTGACCTAGCACACGTGTAAGATGCCAAATTGAAAAATCATGCTTTTGTACTATAGCAAACATTGTGCCGGAAAAGAGCATGACAGATTGATAGCTGTAACGGTTTTGTAATCGATTTGGTTAGTTGCTCAGATGTGTACAGTATTATCTGGCCTTTAAAGTGTCAAATTTGTTTTTAGTGATAGTAAACATTAAATAATCTTTTTTGCTGATAACATATTAGTTAGTCTTGGTATTGCAGTTGAGCTTGATTATTTAATTGTTACAGTAGGACACCCTATGGAAAAAATTACTGTAACTATAACATAGAGTTAGCGTTACTCCGAATAAAGAAAGGGAGTAACATTCATTCTATGTTGTTTAAACATCAGTGCATCTGTTGGTTTTTCTAACTATAACAAATAGACAAAAGCAACAGAACATCAGAATGATGAATGAAATTAAGAAAAATACTATTAAGCAAGATGGAAAACATGACAGTACAAGGCAAAAACCAATTTCTTTTCTTTTCTAGCTCATCATACAGTACAAGATAAAAATGACATTGACAGTACAAGATAAAAACCAATTTCTTAAAGGGAAGCATAGGATATCCATCTAAACCCCGAAGGTTTGTATCCTGAGGGGGTCCCAATGAAAACTTAATTAGCATCTTAAACATTGAGCAGGGCCATCGGAAGCGCATCGGCCGCACCGGCTATGGCCGGACCACTTTTTCTCAATTTCACCACTTTCTGAAATAAATATATAATGATAATTATGAATTATATGAATGTACGCATCGCATTGACTTTTTCAATCATGGTACGATGAACTTGAGATAGAGGGAGTATCTAGCCCACTTCCACTAACTTTCAATCTTGTATCTGTTTCTGCATGGGGTTAGAATAGGGGTGGTTGCTTTGCAGCACTTTTTCAAAATTGACAGGTGTGAATGTACTCCTTGAGGGGGTGGGGGGATTGCCATATGAGATTTTTGGTCATCCACAATTTATACTTTTAGACCTCAATATTTAAGGGAATGGCAACCGCAACTTGATTGGATTTATAGATTAGTTTAGTCTCATGACCTCGTCGTGGCGTCGGACGAAAGATGGTGGGGGATGTCCAGGTTTGTAAAGGGTGTAGAGCTCAACAATATTAACCATTACAGTGCGATGAAAAGCAACGATAAATAGATTAAATCCAAACATTTTTATTGATGAATACATTACTACGAGAACAACCAACTTTTTGTTCAGGGCTTTCTAGCAGTGGCAGGTCTAGGATATATTTTCTGGGGGTGGGGGCTAAGTTGTCTGACAGGGGGACTTGAGCTCGTAGGCTCGAGCTGGGGGAAGGGGCCGAGAGGAGGTTCCCTTCCAAATGAGATTTTCTTTAAGAATAGGTACCTCTGGATGGCCGAAAATGGCCCTCTCAGACTGTGACAGACATGTGTTGGCTTGGTGTGGGCCTATTTTTATATGTTTTATGGTCTGACTGCTCGAAGAGCTCCGTCCGGTTGGGGGCTTGACCTGTCCGGTGGGGACTTAAGCCACCCTGTCCCCCCGCTGGCTTTGATTCCAGATTGAACTCACTTCACTTTAGTCTGCATTAGTTTCTCCATCACTCTCAAACATGCCAACACCTACATCAACATCATTACCGTTATCATCATCATCCCCATCGACATCATCGTCATCATTATTTTCATCGTAGTCATTATCACCTTCATTATAACCACCATTGTTATCATCATCCCCTCATTTAATAATTATGATCATCATTAATTCACATTTTTTTCTGGGCATCAAGGTAAACAAGGTTTAAAGATGTATTGTCTTTTGAAAATGACAAAAAATCATAAAAATAATTTTGAAATTAACTTGTTCATTTTTGCAGTAGCATACATATTTTTAACTTGAGCAAAGAAATTATTGAATTTCAAAAATGTGTACCCTGATTTTTAAACTGGATAATTATAATAAAAATAATGAAACACTTCCATTGACCGGAAGTGTTTATCATTTTTATTTGTAAAATGACGATTAAACTTTTTAAAAATACAATTCAAGTTGATAATTTTTATGTTACTTAAAAATGGACAAGTTAATTTCAAAAATGATTCAGCGGCATTGTACCCCTCTCCACTCACTAACTGGATCACCTTAATGTTAGTACTCTGTTATTTATTTATTACCAGGGTAGATCTCTCCATGGAAGTATACATGCATGGTCTGTCTGCATGAATATACCGAAGGTTGACTAAAATTAATGTCTAATCGGTATAAGGCCTACCAGAAGCAAACACAGCACTTAACTTATTTTTTTTTTTTACAATTCTAGTGATAGTATATAACTTCTAAAGCGTGATCAATAACTTATTAATGTTCCAGGCTGAACTTTGCAAGAAAATTTAATTAAAATTGTATGAGTAGTATGTTCATAACATGTAGGCTGCAGGTCCATTTGTGTGGTATAGTATCCTGTGTTTTACTTATTGCATATTGTGTATATTTTTCATAGCTGAATACCCTCCACATCGTGTAAATACAATTACAGTATGTTATAGTCATTTTTGGTTTATGCATTATATATTCATGTTTCTTGCTCTTCTGGAGGAATAAGCAACTCAATTTATCTACTTATGGCAATGATAAGAAATTAAATTTGTAACAATATTATTTTCTACAGCTTTACCAGATGCTATTTCATGGCATCCAGAGGTGCTATATTTCTA